GGGTGATCCGGCGTGAAGGGATGTCTGAGATTTTACTGATGGCATAGGCACCGTAGCAGTTTGTGGTGCAAGGGGAAGTTTGTCCGCAGGCATAGCCGGGAAGGAAGAATTGAATTCGCGGCGAGCGTGCTCAACGGGATGATCGGACATACTGCTTTTTCTCCAAGGGGAATAGGAGTAATTATAAAAAACTATATTTTTTTCGAATGATGGCTTTCTATTTTCTTCGCAAAAAAAAGGGGGAAGCGCAACAACCGAAAAATTTAATCATTCCAATAGAATGAACAAAGGGTTACATGGGTTAGTTGAGGAATAATTACAAAGTGTTAGAGGTCAAAAGAAGGATGCGTTGTGTGCTGCTATAGGGAAAATGAGAAAGACTGGAAATCGACCCCCACAATTTTAAATCGTTCAAGGATTACATAGAAACGAAAATCAACGCTTTTGAGACCCCTGAAGCAAAATCAGAATAAGAAATTGTGAATTGATTGCTTAGATTATCGTCATTAGTGTTTTCTTTTTTGAGCGCCAAACGAATACTATCGAACGGTGGATTAAGATGCGAAACTACCACATTTTACCATTAATTCGGATCCCAGTTTTGTAATGATTGGTGATACTTTCCGGTGGATTTTAGGATAAGCGGTCTCGTGTACTAGCACAATCGATATGGGCCGAAAGTACACCAACTCATTATCAACATAAAATAGGATTTAGCTACCTCCCCACTTGTTTACTTTTACTTCCGCTCAAAGATTCGATTTTGTTTTCCCTGCTTGAGCTTCACAACTTGCCAATTCCACCGCTTTAGATAGCGCCTCAGTAAATGTTTCCGGATCTACTGGAGTTGCGCCTGCTTTACAAGCCAATTTAGTGGAGATATTAAAGGGCGGCACATTCAGTTCATCCATAAGAGTAGTCAGGAAAATGGCAGTACCATCTTCCTCGTTGCCAACGTAGGCGATGTTTGGGAACAAGCGATCGTCCATCAAAGGCCCACATTTGGTCAGAGAGGCCACGAGCTCCTTGAAAGACGGCGCCGTAGAGCCATCCGGCATGCGTGGTTTCTCCCCGAGCCGCTCTAACATCCGTGTTCGATTCAGGCGGCGTTCGATTCGCTGATGCCGCTCCTCGCGCTGCGACATCTTCTCAACTGAGATGAACCTCACCTTGCGGAAGACAGTGAGCCCGTGATCTGTCGTGTGAGGATTATCCCCGAGGGCGAGGATCTTCGCACTACAAACAGGCGTCGGCCCACAAGGACCGCGGTGTGAGGGCGAGCTCCCCACCCCCACCACCTTCGGAAACGATCGATTACGGTCCACGTTTTCCCCGAGCAGGTACTGCACCGTGGTGGATTTGTTGATCCCGAGCTTTGAAAACACCACGCTGTTTGGCTGCGGCATGATATTGACCCCGATGCGAGCAAACTCGGGTATGGACTTCACAAAATAACGGGAAAATAGTCCTAGAGGAATGCCAAGGACGATGACCTGAGCAACGTCCACAAGCGTAGAGTCCGTTTCTTGGTGCCGTTTCCTCAAACACCCCGGATCGACGCCGAGCGCATGAATCATATGAGAAGCAAAGGCCTCTGCCCTTGAGTTCATGTCCTGGGGAAGATCCTTGAGAAGTAAAGACTTGACGCTTTCTATCAGCAACGCCTGGTCCTTGCTTTCCTGGAGCTTACACTGGCCCAAGGACGCAGGAGCAACGCTGGAAAAGGCCGTGTCCACAATATATTCGACGCGTAACACCCCCAGACAAATGAGGAGATCCGGGCGAGACCGGAGATACCTCATTTTCCATAAAACCGCCTCAGCGTCACACCGCATAGTAGATAGATACGCTGCGAAATCTTTGCTGCTCTCCAATATCGGCTTCTCAGCGAGTCGCTCTGGATGCACGCTTTGGTAAATATCATCCAAATAACGTAGTATCATGATCCACATCATCTGGTAACGACGAGATAGCCGTAATGAGGCCGAGACGACGACCGGTTCTCCGCTAAGAAGATCAAAAATGAAGCGTTCATATAGGTTGGTTAGATAACTCAAAAGCTTTTTGCTCACACCTCGATTAATGCACGTCCCCTGTACACAATTTGCGGTGCCGAATCCCACATTTTTGTTGTCACTACTGGACTTGTTCTCAATCTGCACCTGCACCGGTAGTGTTTTGCAAGACTTAAGCATATCAGTAGATTCAGGTGTAGCGAAATGAATGGAATTGACGTAATCCGTCAGAAGCTCTACTGAGTTAGAGGTACACCGGTACAACGCTGCACCGGAATAGAGACTCAATAATAGCGACCCCTTACCAAAAGGTTCAGACGCCTCTGTATTCTCGTTTGAGAGAGACGACACGTTCTTGCCGGGCTGGTAAGCCTCAGTGCTAGACAATGTTGTGCCTAAAGCATGAGAATTATTAGTCTTGGGTATGTTCCGATTACTGTTGCCACTTTTTTGAGGATCTTGTTGAGGACTACCAACCCTTCCCTGCGCAAGGTATGGCTGTAAAGGAAAATATACCTGGCTCAATGTGCGTAGATCTGCAGTGGTAATGATGCAAACACTGCCGCCATTCATAAGCCAGCGTCGAATGGGATCAAAGCAAGGGCTTTGCGTGATTGACGGATATTTCCCTTGAGCCTTGTGGGGTGTACTGATAAGGGTTCCGTCTAAGTCCGAAAGCAGCCAACAACCTGATAACATTGGGAAAAAAATAGGAATATAAATCGATCCGACCCTTCTCGAAAACCTGGATAACTAGATCACTCGATGAGCGTCAATCTTCAATTTGTCTACGCTATTCTTAGCCTGCGAACGCGCGAATCAGTAGCACAAATAGTATCCACCTTGGATGGCTTACGAGATTTAATAATATCCCTTTTGAGACTCTTTTTTTCTTTTGATGAAAAATGGGGGAGTACTAAAAAGACAAAAATAGTTTACATAGGCCATGTAGTCACCCTGACAACTGAAAATAGTCACATCCTTTTGTTTTCTTGCAGTATCTTCAGGGTAAAGATAAAAATTTTTCTCTAGCTTCCGCTACTCGGCGTCACATACAACTAAGTTGAGAGAAGAGATCATGAGCAAGTATCTGCAAGAAAAGTGATTCATGGCACAGTAGAGAACTCAATGAACTTTAGTGAGTGATTGTTATCGAGAGACAAAGTAAGAGCAAAGTCACATTACCCCCTCAAAAAGGAACTTTCTACTCGTCCAATTATCGGAATATTATTAGTCCTGTATGCGCATGCTTATCCTTAGGTAAAATTTTAATGCATAATTATTATTATGTTATTATCCTTAACATTAGCGCGTCCATTTTTTTCAATTGGTAAAAACACACCGCCCATGTGCAAAGAATGTACAGAATATTAAAAATATCGAAGCACACTAGTTTGCTTCAGCTCACCTTGCGCCTCCTGCATCCACCTAACTATCTTCCCGCCCCATGATGCCGAACATCTAGCTATTAGGAGTCTGCTGAGCCCGTTCTGTCTGGTAGCCGCGCGCAATCCCATATTTCCCCTCTTCCAGTGAGGTTTGTACGGACGTCTTTCCGACGCACGGGTCTAATCCGACGAAAGCACGCTCATGAAGCCGCGCAAGGGCGCCGTGGGCGGCATTCGAAGATGCACCCGCGGTCAGCGCCCCACTTCGGCCCACACACATCAACGCAGAGCTCTCCATCCAGTCCAGTCGTCGTTCGCTCGCCGAATCTTCGGACTTCTCCAACTCAAGCCGCTTCTGCTCCTCGACCGCGGCGCGAAGTGGGGGTAACACGCAATCGAAGGCTGTGCTATAGGCTGCCGGTAGGCCATACTGCGCGAAAAGCGGGTCGCGCGCTCCGAGCGTGATGAGCACCTCGGCAGGAGAGAGCACCGGCTTGATGTAGTTGTCGTCCTGCACGGGAAAGTGGCAGCTTCGGCTGTTCGGGCACGCCACCACCACGAAGCTGTCCACGGTGGATTCGAAATTGGCGAGCTTGAACTCGTTCAGGTGGCCAACATAGATGATGTAGGCTCTTTTACCGCAAAGCCGAAGCAGCTGGTGGAGAAGCATTGTGAGCTCGTAGTAGCCCTCGATGGCGAGGGAAGCAACTAAAATACCTACCGCGGAGCTGTGGCGCAGGACCTCAATGTTAAAATCCCGCTGACGCTGGCGACGTTGGAATTGCCTTTCGACCTCGGTGCAGCTGGGCGTCCAGAGAAGGGCTTTCAACGAGCTGTTATCCGAGGTCGCGCGAATCGTCTCCTCGACAAAGTGATTGACATCTTCCGGGGTTGCTTCAGGGCCAAGTGCAACCATACGCCCATTTACACCCTCCGTCGTGTGGGCTGCAGGGTTCATCGGTGGCGCCGTCGCCACACCGAAATTTTCATCCAAGACTGAAAGCACTGGCGGCAGGCATGGCACCTCATCGCCGCCTGTGGGACCCTCTCTGGTGAGGAAAAATTCGCGCTCTGCCTCGGAGTAGTGAAACCTATTGTACTGATGAACTCCTATAAGATGTACTAAATGAGGACCGTCACCAGGGCCTACGTAAAAAAAGTACTGAATCGCTCGAGAAGCAGCACAGCCATTGGCAGAATTAGATTCCAGATGAAAAGGGAGTCTTGGGAAGCGAACACCATTGAGGATCCACTCAGACGAATCGTTGCTCAGCTGCTCGCAGGATTCAAGTTGCCGTGGCGCGGAATGTCCAGCGGCTCCATTAATCACGACCTCGACATCAGCGCGAGGAGATTCTACGATCTGACGAGTGTCACAGTTCACATAGCGGCACCAAATCACAGAAGCACCTTCTTCATCGTGCTCCGAACTACCCCATTGCCTTTCCGCAGCTTCTAAAAGGCAACGGACTGAGTGCGGTCCGACTACTACGAGCTGGGCCCTCATTCGAGGTGCCTCCGCTGAGGAAAAAGATCCGCCTTGCCGCGTGTGTGATTTATTCCATTGATGGATGTTTTCTTGCAGCGCGCGGCACACTCGATCGAGCACATTCACGACGAGGAATACCGCTGTTTGCTCTGCTTGAGAGATGGGGATACGCGGCGGATTCGATGGAGCCTCGCCGCCCCGCTTTGGGGCTGCCCCAGGGATGGGGGGATCTGGTCGGTGAATACAATGGAACCTAAACGGTGGGTGGATGTAGATAACTGGCAGTCGGGTCGACCGGCTCATACACGCGTCCCCAAAATGTACAATGAGATCACTCTGGTAGTGTTGAGCGGTGATCTCATCAGGACAGCAGCTCCCGAATGTAGAATCCGCAAGAACAAAAAAACGAACGCCCGTGGGGGCGTTCGGATTTAGTGTTTGTCCACAAGTGTTGTTCTTGAAAGGCGCCGGACGAGACGCTGGAATGGCAGGGGCAAGAGGTGTTGGGGTCGTTACAGTAGAGGCGAGTGCTAAGGAATTGGGACCAGAAGAAACGGCGCTTACCTTCCCCTCGACTACCCCATTCGGCAATGCTTGAGACTCCATAAAGCGCTTTTTAAGCGTTGGGTAGCGTGGGTCATTACGCAAACGCGTCTCCAACTCCTGGACCACCGCGGCCGCGTCTTCCAACAACTCATCGGGAAACTGCAGAGCGACGCGCATCATCGGCGCCCCGGGTCCCTGAATTTGAGCAGGACTAAGTAAGAACTCAATGATCTCTTGGAGTTGCTGAGAATTGGCGGCTGCAGAAGTAAAGAACTCAGCTTGAGTGCTGCAAGCACGACGCTGTCTGCGATGGACCGTGCCCATAGACGCCTCTATGGGTGCCTCATGATACATTGTCGATGAGCTATGCTGTCAGACAGAATAATAACAAAATGATAATAAAGCGAATTACACCTATGCACTACTCCCTTCAATATTGTTTCTTCCCTTTATGGAACCCGAGCCAAACAAATTGAAGCCATAACAGGAAACATAATACGCAAAAGGAAAAATAAAGATGCAGGAAAAGAGATGGAATACAATAAAAAAATGAAACATATGAATAACAGCAAGAGGAAAAACACCCTAGTGTCTGGCAACTTTTATGAGATGTACCAACTGAAATTAAATAGAGAAACATTAGGCAAAAACCAATAATAATATCCCTGTTAGCCAATCCACATATTTAATTAAACGAATGAAAGCGGAAGGCACCCACGCTGAATTTAATATAGACGCCTATATCAAAGAGGAAATTCTACCAGACTAAAGCTCCTCCTCCATGCTACTCTCACCCGACTCCTCCTCGGCGTGATACCGATGAATCCATTTCTTTTTCCGATTATGGGCATTGGCCGATGCCGTGCTCAGTCTGAGATGGAACACGGGCAGGCCATCCATCGTGATGCCGCGCGCCAGGTGCGACACGAGCTGCGGGGATTCTTCATCCTCGGCCGCGGCAGTTTCATTGGCTGAACGAACCCGCAACGCCTTATAGTCGCCACTCGAGCGCATAAAAAGTTCGTCCACCTTAGGTGGATAGGTGTAGTACGCGATACGCCCATCATTCCAGTCGCTCAAAATCATCCGCGCGGTGGCCTCCTCGTCGACCTGACCGCCTTTGGTGAGCCGACCTCGACGCAGCCCTACGAGATGGATAAACGCCATGACGTCATTCGCGGGGAAAGATCCAATACCGTAGATTGCCGCGAGCGGGTGAACGCCGGAACCCTGTAGTGTATGGTGATGGTGGGCGTCCTCGTCATCGGAGTCGACGACCTCTTGAACCGCCGTGCAACGCTCCAGGAGACGCTGGACGGGCGCGAATGGATTCACGAGATCGGAAACCCGCACCGCATTGCGCAGAATGACATCGCCACTACCCTCACCCGGACTCACAACACCCGGGCAGTCCATGATGCGAATATCAGAACGCAGCTCCACCTCGGTGTTCCCCGTCGTAAAGCCCGGCGTATTGCCGACCCCCACAACATTTTTTCGCTTAAGCGCGTTGATGATCGAGCTTTTGCCGACATTAGGGTAGCCAATCACCCCAACAACAATCGATTTGCGCTCTCCAGACTCCGCGCTGCGAGCCAAGGTACGAAGCTGCTTGAAAAGCTCGTGGACGTATCCTTGTCCAACAGCACCGTTTGCGGTAGCCGAGAAAGGGATGCACGGGATGTTCTCCTGAGATTGGAAGTGATGAATCCACATATCCACCACCTTCTTCGAGGGAAGCATATCCACCTTGTTAAGCACGATGACAATTTTCTTGCGGTCCTCGCCGTAGCTTGAGCGGATGTTTTGCTCGAGCTGCGTTAGCCGACAACCCAGCGGGTCGCGCGCGTCCACGACCTGCAGTAGCACGTCGCAGCTCTCGACAACCTGCTGAAACTTCTTGTAAAAACGCCGCAAGGAGCGGTCCGCGCCGCGGCGGTCCGTCGAAACTCCATCCTCGTCCCCCCAGCCATCCAAATCCTCGCCCGCCTCCCCACCCATGCCGTGCAGTCGCGTGGGCGCCTCGTAGTCGTGCTGCTTTTCCGTCGAACGCAATGCGAGAGCGATCATCTCGCGCCGCTGGTTCGCCCGCCGCTGCTCCTCGGACAGCTCGTCTCCGTTAGGGGCTGTGCCACCGACGCTGGTGGTTATTGGGGAAAAGGCCTTTGAAAAGGCATTTCCACTTGACTCTTGGGACTGCACCAACGCGGAACTGGTGCTCAGGGTATGCCGGCCTCCTCGATCAAGAGCGTCCTTATTTTCGCTCGCACCTTTGGAATTGAGACTCAGCAGACTGTGATTACGTTTTTCCACAGTTCTCGTCATTTTTTCGGCGATTCTTTTCAAGTCAGGAACGCCAGGATCCCTGGAGAGGACCTTTTTCTTCGTGGCTTGAGATTGTCGCTGGCGATTTAGATGGCCGCCGCCGCCCCTACCACTTTTCTTCGAGTGCCCGCCCATCTAGGTGGAAAATTTTGTTGTTACTATATCTAAAAAAGGAGAGAATACGCTGAAAGCGATATGTCAAATGAGACTACTGTACTTAGTCTGCGAATTCTTTTTAATCTTGCTTGTTCTCCTCTCTAGAGTAACCCCGTCACCGTTCCAGATGATACGGATACACAACTAATGAATAGAAAAAATAAAACACAGGAAAGTGACAAAGAGAATTAGAAGAGTGCATACACGACTCACACATTCACACATACCCTTGGGTAGATCGCAACTACTTCGAAAAAAGTCAAAATCAACAAAGGGGTTTGCAAAAAAAAAAAATGAAACCCACTTTACACCCGTCTCAATTATCACTACTTTTTCCCCATTAATAAATAGTTCGAAGAACGGTCATAATATATGTTAAAACTGCTTAATAAGTTCTTATATGAACAAAATACTAGAGTAATTGACAATCTGGAAAAAACATTAATAGAAATAATATTCGGCTTGTGAAAATGTAGTAAAGAATAAATAAACGCTATTCAAAACCTTCTGAGTTCGCCAAATACTGATGTCCATTCATTAGTCTTTCTCATGTCCCTTACGTATGCATTTCATACCCCTTTGATCATCAATACAGTAGGAGAAATAATAGTGTAGCTTAGTGCTAAATAAATTTAAGCAAAAATATCAAAGGTGAATCTCTCGAAAATAAGTTACTTTCACCACTTTATTGACTTTTAAATACTCCCATATAAAATTAAACACGCTTTATATCTATCAAGCCCCTTTAAACGCGCTGAATAACACATCCTACACACATACGCGCCCTTCTGTAAAGATAAATCTGAAAGCATAGACACAAAAATGATGTTACTGGCTATCCGCGGTCGGTTCAGGAACATTCTCGACCATACGCGACATGATAGTGTTCAGACGTGAAACAATCGCCCGCGGGTCCTCCAGCAAGCCGGCGGCGATCACCGCATTGTCGAAGATCTGCTCACACAACAGCCCCGCCGTCTCCACCATATCATTCGTCTCCGATTGCGACATCGTGTAGAGCTTGCGAATGAGCAGGTGTTGCGGGTTGATCTGAAGGTTGTACTTCGGCGGTGGTCCCGTAATTTGGCCAGTCATGCGATAAATCTTCCGCATCTGGGCGGACTCGTGGTCCGACAACACAGCCGGGCTGTCACGCAGACGGTCGGTCGCCTTTACCACGCTAACGCGGCCAACCAGCCGCTTCGTGATAAAGTCGCAAAGCGCCTTCACCTGCACCTCGCTGAGCCGCTTCTCAACCTTAACGTCCTCCGCCTTGTCGCCAAGCATCTTCTTCTTGTGCTGCACGTAGCCGTCCATGCCGGCATCATACATTTCCACATTCTGGAGCTTGTGCTTCGCGTAGGTGTCGAGATGCTGCATGACAAAATCGTCAATCGGCTCCGTACAAATGAGCACCTCCAGGTCGTGTTCTTTGTATTGTTCAAAGTACGGCGACTGCAGCGCCATCTCCTTTGAGGGGCTGCTGATATAGTAAATGTTCGTCTGATTAGGCTGCATCCGATCCCGGTATTCGTCGAGAGAGACGTATGGATAGTCGATGTCCGACTTAGTCGTTTCAAACCGTAGCAGCTTGGCGAGGTCCATCTTGTGGATCTGGTCGGTGCAGACACCCTCCTTCAAGAAAGGTCCGTACTCCTTGATAAAACGCTCGTACTTGACACGATCCCGTTTGCTTTCTTCTTCAAACCACCGGATAGCGCGCTTGGTGAGGATGGTGCTGAGTCGGCGCATCATACCGCCATCTTGCGTGTGCTCACGAGAAACGTTCAAAGGGATGGACTCGCTATCCACAGCCCCTTTGAGAAAACGCAGCCATTCCGGGAGAAGGCCTTTCGGCTTGGATTGAATAAGAACGCGCCGTGAATACAAGTTGACACCGCACTCCATACGGCCGCCACCGTACTTTTCCGTGTGGGACTGAGGCACATACAGTAGTGCCCGCACGTTCAAAGGAGCATCGATGGAATAGTGCAGACGAAACATGGGACTGTCATAACTGCCTGAGATAAACTTGTAAAAGTCGATGTGCTCCTCATCGGAGACTTCGCTCTTCTCCTTCGTCCATAGCGCCTCGACAGTGTTCACCTTGCCACCATTGAGAGTAATCTCATAGGAGACGAAATTGCTGTACTTCTTCAGCACCCGCTCCACCACCTGTGGGGTACAGAAGGATAACTCTGTGTCCTTGATATCCAACACAATCTTCGTGCCCTTCTCGACACCCTCGCACTCCGAGACCTTGAAGCTTCCGGTCCCATCAGACTCCCACAGATGGCCTTTGGAACCCTTCAAAGCGCTGCGGCTGTATACCTTCACGTAGCGCGATACCATAAAGCAGGCGTAGAACCCGACACCGAATCGACCGATAATGTTCTCCGCCGCGGACTTACCACTGTTCTGCAGTTCGCGCACAAAGGCCTTGCTGCCGGAGCCGGCGATTGTGCCAAGGTTCTCAATAAGCTCCTCTTTCGTCATCCCGATGCCCGTGTCTCGGATAACAAAGCGGCTCTTACTTTGATTGCATGTGATGGAAATATGCGGGGCCTCATCGTCCGCCTCCCTTTCGTATTCTGGATTACTAACCTCGAGCAGATGGCGCTTTTCCAGCGCATCGCTAGCATTGGACACGAGCTCGCGAATGAATACCTCCTTATCACTATACAAGTTGCACGCGACAATGTCAAGTAGTTGGAGAGTCTCTGTCTTGAAGCCTAGCTCGGTGCTCTCACCTACGACTTTCTCGGTATCAACAGCCGCCTTCACCGAGTCCTCTGTAGCGCCAGCCTCCTTCGCGGCGCCAGTCGCTGCCGTGTTTGGCATCGGTTCAATGATAACATCCTCATCAAAGTTTTCTGCCGCCTTGAGATCCTCCGGGGTTTCGACAGTGCTTCCAGGATTCTCAGTGCTCTGAGACTGGTACCGGCGGGCCACATGTTGCGGCAAAACGCCGGCCGTGCGGAGGCCTGTGCTGACGGCCGGAAGGCGCGCAGCTAAGCGAGAAGCCACCACGTTTCCTGAGATTCTTTGAACTATTCGACGCATAGTTTTGTCACTTCTTCAGTTTGTTATAGTTAATAATAGATCTGCTTCGTTAAAGGGTCACAATACAATGCAAAAATTTTAGCTGTTATAAAAATAACAAGGAGAATGAGTAAAAATGACGACCTATTACAACATATAATATCAATGATATCGAATGTTCTCCAATCACTTGATCAGGGGGGAAATTGAAACAGCTCCACAATGCAAAAATACTAATAGCCTGAACAGTTGCAGCATTTTTGATACTAAATTCCTTCTTGTACCGCGTTACACCAATATCACTCAACATGATGTCAATGGCTCTTTATGATTATTTCTTGCACTGATTGACAGGTGCGACACCAATGAACAAAAAACCAAAAGACACAGAAATGAATTCAAAATAGGACGAAGAATACATACCAAACGATAAAAACGAACGTCCTCCAAGAATCAATCTTATGACCGACGGCGGCTCACAAAAAAAAATGCGAAGGTGAAAAGCGAGAGGGAGCGGCACACCAAAAACAAGAAAGCTCAAGCCTGTTAACATATGAGCTCGCACATTAGTTTAGAACCCTATAAATCTTATTTGTTCGAGGAAAAAGGTGCTGGTAAGGGATTAGAAAATAAAGGAAATTCTAATGGAGACGGAATTCCTGGGAGGTCAAACGGATTCGGACCTGGCTCGAAATTGCCCCCCACCACGGGCCTGACATCTGGAGCCACCACATAACCGAATCGTTCCTGGTCTCGTTGGGCTTGAGAAATGGGCGCCTGTGGCGTCTCTAAAGTGGACTGGGGGAGAGAAGTCGAGCCCCCACACGTCGGAGCCGCCAAGCGCGTGGGTTGGTGCTGATCCTTAAACTCAGAGAAATCTCTAGAGGACACCTGGAGCTGCGTAGGAGAAGGTGGCAGCGGCACGGAGGAGTTGCCTGGCGCCGATAATGGCTGCAATGGCGGAGGCGGAATCGAGCCGATCGAACCCCCTTGCTTGGGCGACCCGCCAAGCTCTAAAAACCCTTTCTGAACCTCGTCACTTTCTGGGTTCCCCGAAGAAGTATCACGGGGTGGCGCCGTATGGGCGGTGTGCTGCGACAGAGGACGACTTTCCACCTCAGACTCTACCTGCATAGTAGCCGTAGGGGTCAGTGAAACCTTCTTCAAGTCGGCACCCGGAGGGTAGTCCGTCTCAAAGGCTAAATCCTGGGGTAAGAAAAATTGGTTCATCGTTGGTAGGTTGCCAACATCGCCGTCCTCCATTGCAGGGATCAGGTGTAATAGCCCTGAAGACAGAGTGAACCCGATCGGGGCCTCATAATCAGTACCCATGTCCACAACCACCTCCTTCACGCTGTTCTCCTCGATATCGTAGATCAGGAACAGAATACTGTGTCTGTTTCTTGACGGTTCATTCGAGGAACTATTACCTCTAGCCTCTTCCTCGCGCCGAAAATCCTGCCAAAGGCTGAACCATTCATAAAGGTCGTCTTCATTTTTGAATAAAGAAATAATTTGCTCGTTCGTATCCTGCATTCCAATAATGTAGACACTGTTTGCATGCAGATCTGGGCAAAATGCCGCGGGGCTATTTTCCAAAATATCCGTTATGTGCCAGCTCTGCTTTAAGGCCTCATCAGCGTGGGTCCACTGGATACTGCAGCCCAGTAGGCCTCCCCCAACCCATTCCGAGTTTGAAATGAAGTACACCTCTCGATAGCTACGGAGACGCAGGTTGAACACCGTAAGGCATATGGGGTGTCCCGCGTGATCAGATATGTATTTTTTGAAGAAAGACAAGGGTGATGTATCACCTTGCTTAAGATTCTGGTGGTCAAGTGCAACGATTATATCAAAATATGATACGAGACCAGCCTGGTGTGCAGGGCTCTGGGGCAGAAGACGGGCCACCTGAAACCCTTCTATTTTCGATAAATCATAAGTGTCACAGCTATCTGATTGACTCTGATCCTGGCCCATTAGATCTAATATAAAAAAATAATAACAATATTAATGATAATACGAGCAAAAATAATGAAATCGAAGGCTAAACTTGCTGAATGAAGTCTCCCCCATATACAGAGGGATTTGTAGTATATAAGTATATATTTATACGCCCCGCGCTTTGCGTAATAGAATGAAAAAGATTCTCTTTCGCTCTATATTATTGGATTCAATTCCGATAAATTCAGAAGGTGTAAATATATATTTCAAGAGAAAAAAAGGAGAAAGAGCTACACACTTTTTTTGAGGGCAGAGGGGGGGGGGGGCTTACCCCTGACGTGATGCACTGATGTTATCGTAACTTGGACCACTTCCTTTCCATATTTCGGGAAGCGTGTAATTTATAATTCTCTTCTTTATCTACCATATTCTACCCAATGTTCACAGAATTTTTATTATTAAAAAACGCTTCTATTATGGAGAACAGCATCACCCCTCGTTAGTGACAATTGATGTCCGGCCTCTCTACCCCACACCCGAGCTCATATTTTAACTAAATTTCACTATTTATAGAATCTAATTCATTGGTGTCTTTAGATGCGTCAGTAGCATTACTTTTCATCCTATATTGCAGTCTAGAGGTATGTCTTAGATGTGTTTGCTTTCTCTTTTGCTCTGTATATGCATTTATTCGTTGTAAGCAGGAGTGTCATCTCAATCCCCTCACATGGGTTTCCCAGTAAAGGGGTTGATGTTTTCATGCGCTGGAGGTTCGCACACATCCGCATATTCACCCATCTCTGAAATTCCTCCTATCTTTTTAAAGGGACGAAATTTTTGAACGTCGTTCTTGGGGTAGTATTTGAGTAGGCGAAAGGTACTCTTTTCCGCCAACTTCCCTTCCTTCAGTTGTTTGATGATGTAGTCAATCTTGTCCAACTCCGACTGCGCAGCTTTAGCTCGAATCGCGACAATTCGCTCCAATTCTTCTTGAATCTGCGCATGATACGCATCAAATAGACTCTCAAACAGATCTGAACGAGACGCCAGCTGGTTGACGTAGCGCTTGCGAAAGGCTTGCAGGCCTGCAGCCAAGGTTTCATCAAACACAGGACACGCGTCAATCCACTGGACGATCGCCACCACCTCAGGGTCTTGCTTCGAGAAAAGCCGTGTTAGGATGAGATGCCGGGTAGTCTCCTCAACCTTATCTTTTCGGTCGTTTTCCATAACCAGTTTCATCTTCAATCCGGAACCTGTTGGAGTCTTGAGAATAAAACTATCGTGGACAATGCGGCTGCCGGATTTAATCTCTCTCGCCATCTCCTGCACGCGCGCCTTGGACCACAACGTGAAGAAAACCTCCGAGGGCTTTAGAGGCTTCACTGCCACGGCGCTTTCGTCGACAACGGGTGTGCTCCCACTGGTCGTATTGGCCGCTCCGAATCCAAAGGAAGCAGATGGAACGCCCGGCTGCGGCGACGTGCTTTGGACGGTGTTCGAAAAGCCGAACGCAATTCCCGTCGTCGCGTTGCTGCTCCCCGTCGTCGTAACCCCCTGCGTGGGCGGTGCCGTTCCAAAACCAAACGAGAAGCCCGGCGGCGTCGCAGTCGACGATGACGGTGGCGCGGTTGAGGCGCTGCTACTTTGGCCAAAGCTGAACCCAAAGCCGCTGACGGGGGCGGAAGTTGAGGCTAAAGTAGCTGAGGCTGTGCTGCCGGAAGCCGTGTTCGGCGCGGAGGCTGCGGACATACCAAACAAGGAAGCTGGCGCTGCAGAAGATGGGCTAGCGGTCAGCGCGGATCCTGAGGAGCCTTCCTTCTTCACCAAAAGATACGCGTTGATGTCTTGGCCGTCACTTTTCACGATTCGACGCCAACACATCGACTGGCCTTCGATCGGCAGAATGCGCTCCGGTGTGTTGTCTTCGGCATCGCTGTAAGGCCAATGAACCTTCACGATATACTCCGCGGGTGCCAAAGTTGGCTCGCTCGCCTCGGCGATCACAAAGCAATCCACCGTAACACCGTCCATGCCATCCTCGCCGGCAAGTAAGTCCTCCTCACGTAGCTGAATGAACCATCGTCGACTGCTCGAGTTGCGAGACTCCAGAACACTTTGGAACACGGACCAGTCGTACGGCTCCTGTTTCACCTCACAACCTGGAGAAGTGTGAGAAAATGATTTGTGCATTAACATCTTATCAAATATACAGTTAATGGTGATCGGATGGGTCGGGGCCTTGTCAAGAAGAGGATCATGGTCATCTATCCATTTCCTCATAGCCTCCCTTTCCGCCTCCTTTTTTGCAGCACGCTCCACAGCCCGCATGGCGGACCGTTTAGCGGAGGAACCTTCCCGCTTAGTGTCAGCTTTTTTTGAACTACGCGGAGGCATCGCTGTTGTATTTTCGCTTTTTTCTCTTTTATATTAATTCTTAGAGCTTAAATGTATAGAATGAATGTTATACGATTTATAGAGTCACGTACTGAACTTGTGTATATGTTTCTCTCTTCCTTATACTCCGGTAACTCTAGAAGTATTCTTGAGAACGTGGAGACTGCTCCTTCGATCCTGAGTAGAAGAAAAAATAATTTAAAAAGCGTAAATGCAACTCATATTTGTTAACTTCGTTCATTCTGTCTCCCAATGACTAAAAAAAAATCAAAAATCTTCATTCAGTTGGCGATACTTCCTTCCGTACCTCCCATATAACTTTGGCATGTAAAAAGGATTTATATTTAGCGCGACTGTAGGAAATAATGTGTCTAACATATCTGCTGCGGTGTTTCACGCCTCTGAGACTACGTAAAACTCATACTTCCAAAGCGTCAAAATGTGATATTAATAGGCTCAAAAAATAGCAGAACTAAAATTGACCTTATGCCGTCGAGCGCATCAAATAGAAACACAGCAACACGATACCTTGATTATGATCATTAAGGATTCGAACATAACCCATGTTATCCATTCTCTCCATAATTCATTCACTTTGAAAGACGGAATCCTGATTCCTGTCGCACTCTGCAACTCCTTTCAATCATCTTCCCTAAAAAAAATGACAGTCGTTGGTGACTTTATCCAGATCACCCTTGGACTTCCAAGAGAAGCACCCGTGCATGGGCGCCAAGGTGTGTCGAAGAATATCCAAAAGCTAGTCTAGCTCAATCAACGATGTCGAATAGGCTACAGCAGAGAATTCGACTAAAGTGGAGAAAAATGCAGAATGGTATAAGGCGTGCTGTGATGTCTAGAATATATAAATCAATAAATGAAACTTTTGAAGATTACGACACTAGCACTTTGGCGAAGTCGTTACCATAAGATAAAAGAATTTGGGCATTGATAGATGTTATCTCCATTTGCTAGTACTTCACAATAGGAAAAAACATGAAAATACTAAGATTCGGATATTTCTCATCGCGAACTTTATGTGGAACGACCTAGTTCTAGTTCAGTGGAAGAAGAAGCAAGCAAATATTCACTTCTCAAAGATGAAGCAGCATGTATAAATCCTAATTGCCACAAACCCCATTCACAGCGAGAAATAGATAATAATATATTTTTTAGACTTTATAAAATGTTATGCTTATAGATTGCACTTGTTAAGAAGAAAATTATTTAAGAACCGATATGAAAGGTGCGATTTTAGTTTCATTTAAAATTAAAATGAACTACAAGAAAAGTGAATTTATTATTTTGTCACTTGAACTATTTATATGTAATACGACGCCGCAACCTGTACCCTGAATTAAATTACAGTAATCTGATGGAGCTAAGCATATATCTATAGCTAAAACAAAACATAGCACTATCACTCGAAATTATTATTATATCTTTCCTATAATAAAATTAATCATTTTTTTTGTCTTTATAATAAGCACTTTGTAAGATTTCCCCTTGTAATGTTTAATCACATAGAAAAATTTACGCATATATCAGCTCCTAACACTTTGTTGAAAGCACACACCAATTTCACTAATTCCTGTTACTTTTTTTTGTCACTGCGAAGTATAATTCGAAATGCTATAGCTCCTTCAAAACGAACAAAATAACAATAAATAGTGGTTTTTTTTTTACTCATCTGAACTTAGTTTAGGAAATAAATTTCATGAAAGAATCAAAATACAAACAATCAGTTCGGGATGCTGGCAAGCGGCATCTTCTTAAGACCATCACATACCTTGAAGTGAGCATCGGTGATCGACTTGACCTCCTCCACCGTCACTCCCTCCGCGAGCTCCTTCAAAACCAGTTGCTTCTGCTCCACATCGAAGACAGCCTTCTCGGTGATGATTCGGCTTACACAGCCGATCCCGGTGACGGGGAGTCGGCACCGCTCCAGAATCTTCGGCTCGCCATCCTTGTTGGTGTGCGTCATGGTAACGACGACACGGGAGCCGCTGCTCACCAGATCCATCGCACCGCCAGGCCCCTTAATGAGCTTGCCGGGGATGCACCAGTTGGCGAGATCCCCATTCGCCGCCACCTCGAGGGCGCCAAGCATGGAGAGCTGGATGTGGCCACCACGGATCTGCGCAAAGGAGGTCGCGCTGTCGAAGCAGGCCGCACCCGGGAGGTACGTGATCGTCTGTTTGCCCGCGTTGATCCACTCTGGGTCGACCTTATCCTCGGTCGGGAAGGGGCCCATGCCGATGAGGCCGTTTTCGGACTGCAGAGAAACGCTCACACCGGGGGGGATGTAGTTGGCGGCCTCCGTCGGGATCCCAATGCCCAGGTTGACGTGCATGCCATCTTCGAACTCGAGAGCGGCGCGGCGAGCGATGAGCTGGCGAGCGCTGTTCCCACTGGCCTTCAGGGCCTCACCGAAGACGGTGCGCTGCTCGATCGGGATCTCGTACTTCGGGGCCTGCACGACGCGGTGCACGTAGACGCGAGGGAGATGCACTTCATCCGGGTCGATCTCGCCATTCTCCACCAGATGCTCCACCTCAGCAATGACGCACTTACCGCAATACGCGGCAGGAACGTTGAAGTTCCGCGACATCGCACGGAAGATGAGGTTGCCTGCGCGATCGGCCTTGTGTGCACGGATGAACGCGTAGTGCGGGCGGATCGTCCGCTCCATGACGTACCAGCGGCCGTCAAAGCAGCGGGTTTCCTTCGGCTCAGAGATCATGCAAGGGTTGCCACTCTTGTCATACTTGACGATCTGGCCACCGGTTTGGCATTGCGTCCCGTAGGCTGTGGCGGTGTAGAAAGCAGGGATGCCTGCACCACCAGATCGCATGCGCTCCGCCAAGGTACCCTGGGGTACGAATTCGAGCTCGAGATCCCCGTCGAGGTAGCGCTTGCTGAAGAATTTGTTCACACCGACGTAGGAGCAGCAAATGCGTTTGAGCTGATTCTGCTCCATCAGCATCGAAAGCCCCCAGCCCTCGATACCTGCGGAGTCGGTGTAGGCCGTGATGCCCTTCACACCGCGCTTCTTCAGCTCCTTGATAAGCGCGTAAGGGACACCTGCGCAGCCGAAACCACCAAAAGCGATCTCAACATTGTCTGGAATGTCGGCAACGGCCTTTTCGAGGGACATCACCTTGTCGAGGCCAGCCAAACGGAAGAAATTACGACGAAGCATTTTTTTTATTTAGACGTGTCTTGCTAGAATCCCTAAAAAGGTGAACAAAACAAGTCAGGCGAATAAGAAAGCGTTTCCTTTATTACTTTTTGGAAAAATAGGTGCAGTGAAAGCTTAGAGTTAACTTAAAAAAGCGAATAATTATATTAACTAAAAATAGTCAAGGAAGAAGATAAATTAAAGCAAAATAAACTCATTGCTACTTTCAGATTCACTTCCCCCATTCGCATGGTATGGGACCACTGAAGCGATACAACACTTACGCTAATGCTAAGACTCATAGAGAGGAGCTGGTAGGAATTTTCAAAAAAGTTCATGAAGGAAAATATAAATATACACATGACATAAGATTATGGACCCAAGCTTCTCGCCCCCCTCCATCATCTCTTCTAGATGTAGGGAGACAAATACGTGTGTCGCATCACAGCAATTATTTTGCGTTGAAATCAAGGCTACCGTTTGTTGTATCTGTAAAGACGATCGCTCAGAAGATTTCAAAAAAAGGTGCGGCGGTGGACGATGCATGATGCGCAACACCCGTAAAAATTGAATATGATTGTAGAGATGTGGAGTATAAAATTGACTTCAGGGCAATAGCACAAAGGGAACCCTTGAGAGTGCTGAATCCCACTTTGACATTACTTGTGAACACCAAAAGGTTGCGCGGACGCAGATTGCTGCGCAACTTTCCTCAACTGCAACCGAGCGGCACAACGTTTCCATTCCTCTACCAGACTATTTTTATTTTCGCATGACCTCCCACACAAGACCCACCTGGGTGCCATTGCCATCGAGTAAAAGGTTCTTACATCTTTTCTCAACCATAAAAGTGGAGATCTCTGAATTTCGAGCTAACCGCCTACTCATCAAAAGAGAAACTCTCATCGGATTTGTCATCTGCCTTTTCAGGATTGACAATGGGTGAACTTGAATCGTTGGTAAGTGAACCCATGAGGTCGCGATGCTGGGTTCGCACTCGCCGTGTTCCCTTTCCCCATGACAATTCACAACACATGGTAGAAGATGTAGGATCCCGCATGGGGCTGGTCATGATCCCTCCTCCCCTGATTTCCACACTCCTAGTCTCTTTGTTTTCAGCTCTTGCACAAGATGCAGAGCAGCTTGTAGAACTGACTTCCATGGATTCACAAGCCCGTTCAAGTCGAGCCGATGAAGGGTGAAACATCAACGGCGAGGTGGAGCATGAATCGTCAAGGTGCTGGGCACAGCAAGACTGTGGGTTGTGCGACTGCTTATGCTGCCAGGAGTCCTGCCTTCCCTCAAAGGACTCCACTGCTGCTGGGATGGTAGTGGAAGAGCACGCAAAGGAGGGCTTTTGATCTGGAATAAGAACTTTAGTTTGGGTTGCCGTTTGGGAATTTGACACAGAATAACCTCCGCAACGGCAACAAAATCCTTGCACGGCTGACTGGACCAAAGAAGTAGCGGGAGGGGAGAGTGGCAAGGATGTACCACCAGGCATAAGAGACGAGGGCACACTCAGAGCCACCGTAGTGTTCTCCCCTTTTGTGTGTGTAGCAAATCCTTCCCGTAGAAGCTCCAATATCACGGTGGCGACTGTCTCTATTGCGTTCTTGATGTTCTTCTCGTATGAGGCAATACTGCTCTGTATGTTTCTCGCATGATCGGCACTCTGCTCCGAGCTATTTTCAATCAGCTTACACATGTTGGTGAGTTGACGCGTGAGGGCCCTTGCCCCCTGCACCAATCCATCCCTCTCTGGCGACGCTGCTGCCGCAAGGCGTGCCGGGGTCGCATTATCACGAGAACCACTCTCGCGAGAATGATGCGTTGCAGAAACAGAGGATGGTGTTGCCATGTACGGGTGCGGTGCAGGATGAACAACAGGTGATCGCCCCGCGAGTGTGGGAAATGGGGATGGCGAAGCTTGTATGAGGTGCTTCATATGGTAATAAATCTTCATTTGGCGCGGCGTCATCATGCTTGTGCTCTGTAGCGAATCCGGACGCGCTCCTTCATGAAACGTGCTGCCTTCCGCACCGGAAGGCATAACCGCATGATCCCCATCGCGCTTGAGGTTATGCTCAGTATTATTCTGAGCTAAGCTCATCGCCTCATCGGTCCTCTCTATCTCCTCATGCGCACCCAACGAGCCGATGGCCATGCATGATGTGGGGTTAGGTGAGGCAGGAGGTGCGCGCTGCTTTACTTTCGAAACACAAGAAGATCGTACGGATGCAAAGTCTTCGTCGTCGCCATCTTCGTGTGGGACACCACCAGATGAAGGATCAGAATGTTTGCAAGTCAGGAAACGATCAATTAACTCAAGGTGGGCCTCCCCCCGGAGCGCGACCGCTTGAATTTGTCTTAGAAAAGGCCCCCGTAAGCTATTGGCGTCTACCGCTACGACGTCTTGAAGATCACTCACGGTTTCACGTAGTGCATGGCCTACAGTGCGCCGCAGATCTGCCACAAAGGACCTCACTTCATTCAATTTATCCGCCAGACGGCAATCCCTCTGGAGCTGAGCCAACTGCTTCTCTACACCCTCCTTTTCCGCCTGCAAAAGTCGGAGGCGGGAGTTAATGCGGATCATATCTGCTTGCATGCGCTTAAGCTCTGAACGAAGCTGCGCCTCTATACCTGCATCTCGAGCCTCTAACTGTGTGAAATGAACCACTGCTTGTTGCAGCCGTTGTTGCGCAATTAATAATCTCTTGGAGAAGTCCCCCAGTGCATTAGAAACCTCAAATTGAGTTTTCCCGATTAAGCCCAAACACGAGTCAGAAAAAAATTGAAAGGCAGTCTGGTTGGTGGATTGCCGGCGCCGTGCAGCCAAACGCACAGCAGCCAGCGCTCGATTCACCGACTGTTGACATTGCGGCAGGCTTAGCAGCGTGGCATTAGATAAAGCAGGCATTTGGTTGCCCCTACCTTGCGGTAGAGGATTCACATTCACCATTTCTTTACTATCAATCTTCATCTCCTTTACCCTGCTAGGCTTTCCAAACGGGATTCCTGAAGGCTTAACACAAATATCCGTAAGCACAATGGGGTGCTCTAAACTTGACAGAATGTCCCCTTCGGTGATCTGTAAGGCTACGTTCGCCTTACAGACCAGCTCAGGGGCTTCCCCTTCTCCACCGTCGTCAATCGATTCGCTAGGGACCTCATAAGTCTCGGTCTGCTCCGCCTCCGCCCGCCCCCATACCCCATCGTACTGCGGAGACGAATCCCGATTTAGCCACCCGAGAACAAAACTCAGCGAGAGCTCGAACAGCACACGGAGTTCCTCGGCGGCACGTCGCGTCCGGAGAGCGACCTCCAGCTGCTGCTCCAACTCAGCCACCCGATCCGCCTTCTCTCCAAGAGCGCGGCGGATCGACTCGGCCAGTTGTTGATTCTCCGATACGGCCTGAGCTAGCTGCCTCTCCAACTCAATGAGGCGTTGTTGGGTGCGCTGTTGATCTCGCTCAGCGGCCTCACGTGCGAGAAGGGCCGAACGTAGCTTCTTCGAAAGCGTCTCACGACTATGCAGGAGACGAGCATTTTCCTTCTCCATCTTGGCTAACTTTCCCTCCATGACCTCTGTTAATTTACGTTTTGGGTAGTCCATGGAGGCAGATGAAAGAAGAGCCGATGAGGTATTTTGCACAGATCTTGGAGATTTCTTCCGTCGCATCGGATTGGATGAGATCGCAGAGAACTTCCCAAACGAGGACGTCATGTCGCGCGACGATAAACAGTGATCAAGCTCTTCTCCGACGTTACTCGACGGCCCCTGAATATTGCGGTCATCACGTTGCCGCAGCTTAGATTCCTGAATTATCCTTTCTGCGTTTTCTCGTAGACGGCTCTCTTCCTGTAAAGAATGCTTTAGCTTCTCCATATAGGCTGTGCTCTTCACCAACAAGGCCGCCATCTCCTCCTGATGCTGCTTGTTTTCAACATTCTCGTGCTCCAAATTCAAGACCTGATCTTTCAGCCTACGAAGCTCATCGTGAAAGCCATAAGCATGTTGCCACGATAAGGGGAACTCTCGGCTTGAAGTCACGCCGTTAGCCTTGGTTGTTCCCGCAGCGGGAGCTTCTGGCAAAGCTGACGGCAGGTCCCATTCAGGAGAAGGACTAGCTTGATTGCAGTTCCCACTATATTCACCGCCCTTATTCAATAATGCCTCACCTCCACGACTCGATGGACAAGATGCCCCTTCGTTTTGTAGAGGTTCAGCATGCGGAGTTTCGACGACGTTACTGATGAAGGTCGGAATATCTTCCGTTGGTTGCTGCAAACCACAATGAAGTGAGGATGACTTCCTGGCGTCTGCCGAACAGACGGGTCTCTCACTAGGATTGCCTTCATGTTCAAAAACGCGAGAAGAATTACTACACAAACCGCAAGCGCCATCATTGTTATGATTAACCGATGACCGCGGTGATGGGGGAGAAGGTAATGTAGTAGAAAAAAACTCTATAGGGGTGGTTGGAATTGAAGAATAGGATGAATCTCGATCCATCATCTCTGCTAGTATGGCCTTGCTAGAAGCATCGCATAACCTCCACTGAACCATATATTCTATAAATACTTAAGCACACAGCACTGAGAAGTGGAAGTGAAGATGCTAAAATCCACTCCTCAAGACAGAAAAAGATGCGATCTATAACTGGAAACAAAATCCTAACAGTCTATGAAAAATAGGAAAGATAAACGTGTTGGTTCTGCTTCCGTGACCTATATTCAATAAAGTCAAATATAAAAACGAAATTTACCTGAATAAAGGTTTTGGTGTGATTCTAAGAAATAAAAAATTGTCCATAATCCTTGAAAGGGGAAAAAAAGAGCAAAGAACAATGCAAAATTCTAGCACTAATCAAATCAGATAAAGGATACCTTATACAGGAAATGACAAGTGAATACGCAAGGTGCTATTACAATTCGGACATAGAAACCCACCAATCCTGCTTACCTCTGCATAGACTAAATGCTTAATGGAAAAGGAGGGAGGGGGTAGGGGGGGGGGGAATAGACGCAAAATGATTTATAAAAACACAGTTCAAACTTTGCATGTACAAATTGGATCTAAATTGTATACATATATGTGTAAATATATAAGGCGAAGGGAAGTGTATCTATAAATTGATTCGAACTCAAAAGTGCAAGATTCAAGAATTGCATAGGGGGAAAAAGTATTCTGACGTTGTCTTTCTATGGATATTATTGTATTAGAAAAAGCGTACCAAGGCTAAAAATTACGATATTTATGCTTAACGTTATACTCCTCTGCGATCGTTGATGCATCTTGGATGCCCCATAAAATGGGATTCGATTGCTATAGTGCCTACCGACACGTGGTTCCTTCTAAGTTGGTCTTCCTTAAGGATTCCACCCAGCCCGCAAGCTCCGCAGGTACATCCACTCCGCGATGTGAGCCGCGGTGGCTCGACCGTCGACCACCACACAGGAGCGCCGGATGTGGTGTTGTTGAGGTAGCTCCACGAACTCGTTCTCGTCGTGAATACACGCATAGAAGCGCCCCAGTGCGGCCACTGGAGCCATCGTCGCCCCTCGAGCCCCTTCATGGGCAAGGAGGACGAGGTATTTGGAGTCGCCATCCGCCGCGTCGGCGCCCCCATCCCCCGCCCGCAGGCCCACCCCCGACGTGGAGCTCGCTGGGAGGCCTAAGGAGTCGACCCCCCCTTCCCCAAGGGCGGCTAACCCCGTCGAGGGCGCCCCTCCTCCCCCTCCTCGGCTGATTCGCGGCACCGCACAGGAGAGCAGCAGCGGCCGCACCGCACGGGTGTACCTCCCAAGCCCCCTCTCCGACGTCAGCGTCCAGAGAAGACGATTCGCCAAGGCCGTCAGACGATACACCGTGGTGAACGACTCCAGCGCGGAGGTCGTCTTGACCGGGTCGTTGGGCAGCATGCAATGGATCCCCGTCGTGCTCTGGAGCATCCCGGGCTGCATCAGCGCACTGGTCGCGTTGGCGACCGTCTGCTGCAACCGCAAGGCCTCCACGAGAGCCCCTTGAAAGCCCTTCTCGGTGGGGTCGAGATCCAAAATTTCGTACGCGCGCCAGAATTGGGTGCGATGAAAGCGTTGAAGCCGCTCCTGCACGGCCGCCTGAGACTCGGCCGCGTTCAAAGTCGCGTCCACTTCGTAAAGCGAGCTCGGTAGAGGTGCGGCGATGATGCTATCAAACAACCAACACGCGTCAAAGGTACTCACCTCCGTGCTGTAGCCAACACTCCGACTAACGCAGCGAATCTGATTTGGAAATGGGATAAAGCTGGCCTTCCGTTCGAGAACGTGCCGGATCTCCTCCTGCACGAGCCGCAGCGCCGCTTGCTTTTCCTCGGTGGGTAGCTCTCGCCAGGGCTGATGGGCCCTTCGCACCGATACCCCGCACCGCGCCAGTAACTGCCGCACAAAACTCTCGCCATCCTCGACGTGATGAAGACCGAGGACGCTGGCTATGACAGGGTGGTACCAAATCGCGTTCCATAGCGTTGTGTGGGTGAGCAAGAACAGCTGGGCCTCCTCTCGATTCCAAAGCTGCATGGTGTTATTCGAGATGTGGCGGCTGCGGTGCTGCCGTTGTTGGGCGCCCTCATTCGTGATGTCCGCGAGCTCATCGTTTCGGACGCTCTTTTGTAAGGTCACCGCATCGTGGAGGGGGCGCATCTCGACCAAGTATTTCCCATAGTCAATCAGGCGGCGATTAAACAGGTCGCACACCCCCAGGGCCGTGTGCCAGAGCATCGCATCCTTCGGCCGGTTGAGCAACACCGCGAGCTCGTGAACCTCCACGGCGCAGCTGCGGCCTGCGCACTCCGCCGCGTTGTACGCCGCTTCCAGCGACGGCGGCACCTTCTCGGGCTCCATCCAGTCAATGTAGGTTTGGCTGTCTGCTAGATCCTCTTCTAAGTCGTCATCAAGGGCGGGGTTGTCGATCTCACTTTCGTCGTCATCGCTACTCTCCATGTCGTCCTCGTCACTGGTACTCGGACTGCTGCTTTGGCTGCAGCTGTAAGGGCGGTGCCCCGTGGATTCGCCCCCATCCTCGCCAAGAATGTCATCACCCACCTCAGTCCTCATGAGTCTTTTCCTAAGACGTCGGCGTTGGTTGGCAGCGCGTCTCCTCTGCCGGCGACGGCCTAACGCCGCGGACGCGGCCTGCTGCTCGCGGAAAAACTGATCCACCTCTGCGTGAATTTGACTGCTGCCCCACACCATCAGCCGCGTCTCGTCCTCCTTTCGGAGATTGCTAAGATTAAAAGGGCGATAGGAGTCTAAAACCACCACCACGTGACGTGCAAAATCAAAGTATTTGTCTAACTCAACAGGAGCCCCCAAACCAATCAGGATAAAAAATTCATCAACATAAGGATCCTCAGGGTCGCTGCGTTCAAAATCTTGCGCAAGATTGGTGCGCTCGACAATATTAGCGAGCTCCTGGTAGGTGGCCACCGGGTGAATGCTATAGGGTATTAGCGAAGCTTTAAGAAGCGATGTAAACGTAAGGGAAGCAGCTGCAGCATCTACAGTGTAGCTAACAAGAATCTGGACGGATTTTCGGGTAGATTGGTAAAATTTATTGATGCGCAGCCATATCTGTGTGGAACCTCCCTCTGACATTTTAAATCTATGATTTCTCTATTTTTGAAGAGTGAGTCGAATTAATATTAAAATAAACCAATATATGTAAAACTGTATGCGTGTGTATATGTGAGATGATTCTATAAACAGAAGGGACAAAAAAAAATGAGACTTAGTGAAATCTAGGGATAAAATAAAAGGTAGCCCTCGGAAAAGGGGATTTATTGAGATGCTATGGTTCAGAAAAAAACGATGTGTCGAGAAGATTGAAAAGTAAGAAGAAAAGAAAAAGATATACATTCAATCCTCAAATGTCAGAACTAAACCTAGAATGTCATATTAGATATAATTGACTTCACATGATTCGCTTCTGTGAACTTTTTGCATTCATTCTTGCATGAGTGGCGAACCACTACCGGGCGTATGGAAAGCACAACAATATGGTCTCCTGGATCATCTCAGAATCTAGAGGCTGCACCGCTTCCTCCAGTTTGCGACAGAGACGCGCGATAACCTCCTTCGTTCGCTCACTCAATTCAACGCCGGTGGCGTCGTAACGATATCCCTCAGGGTTCGAGGGATGCGAACCGCCCCCAGCGTTAGCCACCTCGGGAATAGGAGCATCATGACTTTGGAAGGCTGCCCGAACGATATTCATCCGTTGCACGTGCCAACGGCGCATAACACGAAACAAACGGGGCGGTGTCACGTCATTCAGCAACATCTTGCCATCTACTTTAGCCATCCAAAAGGTGTTCATCATATCTCCGTCGGTCGCCACGCGTGCCGCCGTCGTATCGCCATCCGACAGCTGCTCAAACAGCTCCAGGAAGAGAAGGATCGCGTCGGTGCCCCAGTGAATGGGATCCTCAGTTGGAAGACGGGGGTCCGAGTGCGCACCCGGCAGCGCCCTGATGACAGCTTCTTGAAAAGAACCAGGGATATCCGGCGACCCATCACTCGCACAGGTGCCCCGTCTGTTAGCGGATGCTCTGCGAACGGGAGGACGGAAAGAATCTACCTCAGCTGCCTCCAAAGCCTTCGGGTCATCGGTGTCGATCAACATGAAGTTCGGCAGTGGCACCGCCTCGGTATCCTCGGTCGCCTCGAGATTCACCAATTCCTCACGCGCGAGGTTCCGCTGCGCCATACGATCCAGACCATCAACGCCATCCACAACCGAAAAGGCTCGCTCCATCTCGGCCTCAGTGTGCAGTCCAACATCACCATTGCCGCCTGTTGGTGATGTTTCCTTCTCGTGTAAGGGCACCTCTCCAGTGCAATCCTCCTTGCTATGATCACCGCCATATGTGGCAGCTAAGTACTCTTCATAGCTTTCAAAATTGTTTTCCATAAGTTTGCGCTTCGTGTTCAGCTCCCGCGCGTGCATCTCTTCAACGGTGGGGTAATGTACCTTCCCCGGCACATTCGGATCGTCACCATTGCTGTTATTTTCCTTCATCTTCTTCAAAGCGAGTCGTCCAACAGTGGTGAATCGAGACCACGTTGGGCCGAAATGTGCCTGTCGTACCTCATCACTGTTAGCAGCTACAGCGAAGCCATATTGATCGTCTTCCTTCCAGGCCCCACCGATCCCATCGCTGGAGTCCTCCCAATCACCCTGCTCTGTTAGGGGATCACTGGGCGGTGGGGGGGATAATTTCACGGAAGCGATACTGATCCTTAAAGCGTGAGAAGCATCACAGCCCATTCGAGTATTTCGATAGAACGGATGGGATTGAAAAAAAAGGGAAGCGTGAAAAGCATGAGGAATCCGACGAACACGCAGCGCGGAAAAGAGAGAAGGGGTTCGTCGCACCATCACCCTTTTTGCTAAAATTCACCTTTGCGTCAACCTCTTTTGGTTCTTTCCTCTCAGGAGCAGCTGGAACGCAGAGAACGTCAATCCAAATATAGCGGATGAAAAAAAACGATAAGGCAGTGTCTTTACTACACTTTATTTACAGAGGAAAATAAGATCTGTTAAAAGCGAACGTTTTGGCCTATATTTATTCTGTCATCCTCTACGTGACTATATGTGTGATAGATCAAAAGCAGAAGAAATAGAGGTTAGAGTGATGTAAAGAAACCCATGGAGATGGGAATTTCATTTATTATTCACCTTTTTCTTCCACTTATTGTGCAGCATTGAAGTGTAGAAATTAAAAAAATGCATATAACAAAAATAGTTAGACCAGATATAGCCTTTTATTTATCCCAATAACTTCTGGTCTAATATAGTGACTTATTTTGAAAATTATATAATAATTAAATAAAAAAATTTCAATATCAATAATATAATAATTAAATTAAAAATTTCAATATCAATAATATAATAATTAAATTAAAAAATTCCAATATCAATACTTTTGCTCGTCAAATGGTTCTATAGACCTGTATATTTAGTCAATTTTTTCATATCCCATCACATGCTTTGAATGGAACCTCCATGCAGAAGCAATAATCTTATCAATAGTGTCGTACTCAGGCTTCCACCCAAGAATCTCTTTTGCGGCTTCACCAGAGGCAACGAGCACGGGTGGATCCCCTTCACGCCGAGGCTCCTCTTTTATTGGAATTGGATGTCCCGTCACACGCCGAGCGGCTTCGATAACTTCCAATACAGAATTTCCCTTCGCAGTTCCGAGATTTAAGGCTAAGAAGAATTTATTCTTATCCTCGGGCTTCAAACTGGCAAGGTAATCAAGGGCTTGGATGTGTGCCATAGATAAGTCAAAGACGTGAACATAATCGCGAATACAGGTTCCATCTGGGGTGTCGTAGTCTGTACCGAAAACAGAGATGTAAGACCGCGCCTGACGTCGCTCTGGATGATGTTTCGCGTTATAGGCATTGATCTGGTCCGCCAGGGGAACCTGCAGAATGAGAGGAATCAAATGGGTCTCGGGATCGTGAGTCTCGCCGATGTCACCTTCTTCGTCAGCACCACATGCATTAAAGTACCGCAGGCACACCGACTTGATGCCGTACGCCGTGGCGCAATCCTCGAGCATCATCTCGTCAACGTATTTGGTTCGACCGTATGGACTTTCGGGTTTCCGCGCTGCATCCGGCATAATCGGTACAATAGGTGCGTGTTTCCCTGTGTCTGGAGCATTGGTATTCCTTTCAAGGTTCTGCAACACGTTTCCAAAGAGAGCAGCTGAACTCGAGAGAATCAACTTATCACAGCCGTGACGCCGCATCGTCTGAAGCAGACGGATCATCCCGATGACGTTGTTGTCGTAATACATCAGCGGGTCTTGGGTGCTCTCCCCCACGGCGATGTACCCACACATGTGCACCACTGCATCAATAGGTCCGTGCTTTGTGAACACTCCGTTGAGGAACTCCTCGTTCCGGACATCGCCAACCTCCAAAAGGGCGAACCGCTTTCCAGCTGTGTCTCCATCTCCCAACTTGGAGTTAATCTGCTTTTTCTTCCAATTCTCCTCAGTATCAACATGAGAAGCGTCCCCATGTGTCGCCTCGAGAGAATCCACAATAATCACCGAGTGTTGTGTCCTGCGGAGGAGACACCGCACAAATTGGGTACCGATATACCCAGCTCCACCACACACCAGTACCTTCATATTAATATATCTTTTACTTCAACGAAATATTTAGACCTTCCTGAGACAGAAACCCAGAATAATGAAGTAGAAGCTAGTTGTTCCCTCCACCTACTCAATGCGTCAAAAAATTATATGTTTTTCCTTGTTGGTCAGTTAGTTATGAAGCTATGTTTTAAGAGCTTCCAGTATTACTATATCTGCGCTCAAGGCAGAGACAATATTTTACCAAAGTAACCGCACTATGAGATAGGAGCCAAACACAAAAAGATCAATTGTGTCCATCTTTAAATACACATTTTTCTTTCGTGCACTTTAAGACGTGAAGCTTACTAGAAGTAAATGTTGTTATCGCATCGTTAAGGATTTAGAAGCTGATTGCGATGATTTCCAACTCTCGGACTTCGCTGGCCCGAATCGGATTCGCTAGAAGGTAGGAACATCGAAATAGTAGGAATTGATCAAAATCAACTCCACTGCTTCATCAACTGCTGCCTTACCATGATACCCCGACAGAAAAGGCAGATCGAAGCAAACACTATGTTTGTTCAAACGAAAAAGACCCCGCTCCTCCCTGTTATCTTCTTTCGGGCTAATGTTAAGCATACCCGTCTTGAGCATGTTAAGCGCACAGGTACCAGGCTTATCCTCACGCGCGTCCAGTCGAGCCAATAACGCCTGTGCAGTGTGGTAGGCCCCCACCAAGGAACTTTCCAGGAAGCGTATCGGTACGTGACCCACCTTCGACCTCGCACAGACCTCCAAGGTTCCGCTGAAGAAGTTCAAACCCTCTCCATTAGAAGGTCCGAAACTGATTACGGCCTCCGACTGGCACCCTGCTGCCCCGGGGGGGTTGGGGGCAGGCGAGCTGTTTGTTACGCCCTCCACCAATTGATGTGAATGGTATTTGCAGTCGCAGATACGAATCAGCATTGCGGCCTCCCGTGCTAACGCTGAAGACTCCCCACCCTCAACATGCCACACGTCCCCAACTACGTAGGTGGGCGCCACCAAAACCGCTTCTCCACTTTTCGAAGTATCTTTGAGAGGATTAGCTACTCCATCGACGACGGCCACCGTATCCCCTTCGATCGTCATTGCCTCCACTGCCTTCAGGGAAGGCACGGCAAACACGCTGTTGTGAAGTGACTTGTCCGGAACGGAAGTGGATGAATTTGTGAAAACCACAAGACGTAACTGCCGTTGTTTGAAACCAAAGAACGGCGAAAGAAAGCTTCCTGCGCTCGAGCCCATGACCTGTACAAAGTCCTTTACCCATGCTGTTTCGACACCAATAACGTGAACATAAAGTGGCTCCAACAATAGAGGCGGAGTTATTTGATTTGGATTCTTTCCCTCATCACTAATAAATAAGTCTGCCTTCGAAGAAAGGTATTCAAGGGTAGCTACCGCGCAGGACCATCCAGCCGTGCGCATTATCCGACCTTCTGTCTCGTGCAGCCTCGCCGCAGTCAGCTGTGACTGAAAGTTTCGTGCGGCGTCCTCCCTATTTTTCCGCCACAGCGCACATTCCACCTTGTGCTTTCCACTCTTCCATTCTAACGCCTGGTGCTTTTGGCTGCAGTACCATATCACTTTACACCCACTACAGCGGAGTAGTTTTTCTCGGCGCCGGCCACAAGATGCGCAACGTCTAAGCGGATGCAGCAACGCAGGCGGCAATGCCAACGGTGGAATTCCGGCTACGGTGTAGCCGCTTTCACCCACGCCAACCTTCCAACCGTAGCGCGCGTGGAGGTCAACAATATTATTGACGAAAAAATTCAGTGTGGCAGTCGCCGCGAGCAGCATCTCAATTGTAGGGCTGTTCTCCCCTACTAGCAACTGGTTCCTTGCGATAGGATTCAACTTAGTTGTCTGGTTGGTGGGTAAACGGTGAACAACACGAGGAAAGACTAAATCGCTACAAGATCCCTCACATTGCACGTGTTGATGTTTCAGCAACTCTTTATTGTGATAGCCCTGAACCGATGAGATAGAATCCTGGAAATCCAAAAGAAAGTCAATATCGTCAAATGGTACCCCTTCTATAGGCCCGAGCTGCACCAGAACCTCCCCCTCCTCTGGCAAATAGTTGTCGCAGTTAAAATCCATCAGCCCATTATTGTTGAATTCATCAACAACGTAAAACACATCGCCGATATCTTGATAGAGGTGAAACTCTGCACCAATGGGCTGTGGTTTGACAGGGCCTACCTCCCGATAATCATTTTCAGGCGTTTGCTTCCCTTTTGGAGGCCTCTGCAACAGAAAAACGTGCCGGAATGGTCGTGTGTTGGCACCAGCGCACCCCGTATCGCACTCAGCCACTGCCGTCATTTCGTCTTTAGACGTGTTCTCAGTGGTCCCTACAGATTCAGACGACAGCTCGGGGACCGAGAAGGAAGTACCCTCCCCTTTGGTCAACTTTAAGGCCTTCCAATTTGCGTCTCGCTGCGCCTTGAGCTTCTCGATCCCCGTCAGGTCCTCAGGATCTGGGACCGCTGGAGTGCGTTGAGGGCATGTAGGGTCGGTCGCCGAAGGTAACATCTTTTCAACATTCCCCGGCTCCATGAAACGCGTCCGATACAAAATTGGGTTGATGTGGGAAACCAGCTCAAGTAATGGTCGATATCTTCCCTGTGCTGGAATGGAAACGTCACGCGCTTCGGCAGATAGATTACTCTTCGTCTCTAACCATCTAGTCACCTGGTCCAGAAGCTCAGTAAATTTTTCAAATACACCAGAGTTCAACAAGCCTCCAGTCATGAAGGGTAACCATGAGGGACCTCCCTCTGGTAGTGAAGTCGTACCTAAGCTGGCAGGCGCCTCCGGGGATGTCATCTGCCAAAGTAACCTGTTGTCTTTAAATACAGCTGCTACAAAATTTTTGCGGACGTCGACTCCCACAGATTGCATCACTTCGTCACGCACCCCCATTGCGACACGCTCCCACTGATCCTGACAAAAGAGGTTTAGTCTCTCGTGAGTATGGCCCTTCAAAACTGCCACGAGCGCAAAGGATGTGATGGAGGCCCGTAACCCACTCGGTAGCGTGCTCCAAACCTCCTTGAAGGGCTGAGCCACCCTCTCACTACTAGATTTTTCCTGTACGGTAGCATACAGCAAATGCCATGAAGACGCCTCAGCTATCTTGGCGTCATCAGGCGAGGACGAAGCTACCACAGCAGGCTGTCCGAACAGAAAATGAAATACGGGAGCAGCGATAGTATTTGTGTTTGTATCCAAATGCCAACGCCGGGGATAAACAAGGGTCCAACACCAAGCACTATACGTAGTGCTTAGGTCACGTTGGAAAGTCTGAATTGAAGTACTGGGGGTTCCACCGCGTAGAAAGGACTCAGCGACTGACATTATAATTAATATCGCTTATTTCTGTTAATCTGGTACTAATAACTATTTGTGTACCGTCCTCCGTCTTCCTAAAGGATATGAAGAGTAGTATTATTCACAACTCACCGGAAAAAAACCTTTTTTATACGTATATGAGACTAGCTAAAAAAAGGATGTAAAGAAAGGTAAATATCTATCTATCTATAAATATGTACCAATAAAAAGGGTAAAAGAACGTAAACCGTAAGAGGTTGTTTCACTTGAAATCCAGAATTCTCCCCCTTTTTTGAGCGGTGGTTGTTTTCCTACCAGTAAGCGTACTTTAGGTGCTTTTTAATGTAAACGCGTAGACAGTTTCACTATATTTGACCCATTAATAACTTACTCCAATTGGAAGATACACAGTAAAAAGATACAAAATGTGTATGATAAATTTCTAAGCCTCATTTAAGACTAACCCTAAAAACTTTTCTCGTAACCCAAAGAAAAGTATTGTTTATAAAATAAACAATAAAATATAAATTAATAGTCTATAACATAGTAGATATTGTATATAACTTTATAAAGTTGTATACTACCGAGAAATCAGAAATAAAAGATAGAAAAAATATATAGGTATCATTTACATAATGGAACAACAAAAAGAATTAGTTCGACGCTTTGCGTCCTGGTAATACCATTGCCTGTTAGATGAATTTCTAGTGCGAATGCTTGATTCTAAGGAATCTGAAAAATGTTGAGAACTCCTGAGGCGCTGTAACTCCACATCTTGATCCTTTAAGCGTTCTTGCAAAGAGGTCAGCTCAGCTGTACGCTCAGAAAGGTTATTCATGAAAGTTAGAGACATTGATTCAGCATCACTCTTAGCCTTCTCCAATGCTGCAAGTTTCTCGGCAAGCTCCTTCTGTGCCAAGGACAGCTGTTCCGCATAGTTCGCCTCAGCAGACGCAAACCTGACTTTCTGGGCCTCTGACTCCTGAAGCAGGGCTTTGTACTTACCCCTTAAACCTTCCAGCTTTCTGAAAAGCTCATCCTTCTCCTTAACTGCCAAGGACAGCTGCTCCGTATGATTCGCCTCAGCAGACGCAAGCATTCCTTTCTGGGCCTCGGACCCCTCAAGCAGGGCTTTGTACTTACCCCTCAAACCTTCCAGCTTTCGGAAGAGTTCGTCCTTCTCCTTCTGCGCCAGAGTGAGCTGCTCTGTATGCTTCGCTTCAGCAGATGCAAATCTGTTTGCCTGGGCCTCTGACCCATCAAGCAAAGCCTTGTACTTAGCTTTCAGCCCCTCCAACCTCCTGAAAAGCTCGTCCTTCTCCCTGACAACAAGCGACAACTGTTGGGTAAGGTTCGCCTCGGCAGAAGCAAACCTACG